TTAATTATATATATATATATATATACATAAAATTTATTTAATATTTAATAAGATTGAATTCCATAATATAAAGTATTGCCACATATATATCATGAAAAAATTTAAATAACACTTTTTACAAAATTAAAATAAACTATTAAATTATTAACAAATAAGTACTAATTCTTTAACAACAAAGAAGATATTTGCTTATTTTATATAAAAAGAATCATTTATCTATTTTAAGTATCACAATTTTAAAAATATATATTTGAAATAGGTTTGAAATAATTTTCTAATAACAGAGATAGTAATATAAAAATATTATAGCAAAAAATAGTTTTAAATATATTTTTCCATAAATTTTGTAGTATCAACTGATTTGATTTAATATTATATCTTTATAAACATAATATAATTTTTAATAGTATATTAATAATATATTAATTAATATATAATTTATCATTAAAAAAGTGATGAATTATACATATTATCTTGAATAAAGTTCTTTTTCTAAATACGTTTTGGCATCCTGTATTGTGGCAAAAATCTTAAATGTAAGTGTTCCATGTAAATATAAATCACATTTTCTGATTGTTTCAAAAATAGGACTTGTACAACTTACAAAATAAAAATGTATATCAATTTGTTGAAATTCTTTCATTACTGAATTTAATGTAATTACGCCACTAGAATCAATATAACTTAATGCGCTCATATCCATTATTATACATTGTAATTCTTGTTTTTCTTCTGAATCTTCTGTATCCATATATATTCCTTTTTCTCTTAACTTAATTTTATGCTCTATAATTTTTTTTGGATTTATTCCAATTAATTTATATAATTCTGATTTAAAATGATTAATATTTGCAAAATTCAAAGTTCCACAATAATGAAAAATTTTTATTCCAGGAATTTCTACTGCCTGAAAATAATTCAAATATATTTATATAACATTATTCATATAACATGATTTTTTATTATAAAAATATTATTAGTCATAAAAAATAATAAATACTGCTTTAAATCTACTCATATCCAAATATAAATCTGTATTTGGTATATATCCCAATAAACAAATATAAGGTCTAACACTTTGCAATAAAATAATTGCAAGTGATATTATTATTCCAGTTAGCAAGCCAATATCAATACTTATTATTACAACTGTCAAAAAAGTTGAAATCCAAATCAATGCATCACATTTACTTAATTTCCAAAATTTTATAAGTTGATTAGCTTGCTGAAACATTCCCTTTAAGGCTACCTAAAGGAAGATTTATATGTATTATTGTATTATATGTATTAATTATATAAATTAATATTCACTATAAAAATATATAATTATTTTAATAACTTATACAATAATAATATTTTAAAGCGCTTATACATACAATAATAATTGATGCAAGAACAGATCTTGGTAAAGGTTCAAAAAATGGGCCAATCCATAAAAGAATTATAAGTAATACTGTACATGATATAATACTAGCTATTTGCGTTCGACCACCAACAGTCTGTTGAATTAATGATCTACTTAAAGATGCCGATACTGGCATACACGAAAAAAAGGATCCTACTACATTACTCAAACCCTAAAATTATATTTTATAAATATGCTTGATATTTTAAAAACAATACTAAATAATTTTATTACCATAGCAAGAAGTTCTTGATTTGAATTAATTTTATAATTAAGTTTTTGTGCAAATATTAAAGCCATTGATATGGTAATAGTATAAGATACCATAGTTATAGCAATACTATCCATTGCTACCAAATGTAATAGATTAAATGTTGGAATTGTTGGAACTGGTAATCTATTAATTAAAAAGATTAAAAAACTTAAATTATATTTATGAAAAATAATTAAATTTACATACCCTGTAGGAATATCGCCCACAACTTGAATATTATATTTAGTAGAGAAACAAAAATATTTTGAAATTAAAGTACCACTCACAACTGCAATCAATTCAATTGGAATTGGAATACAACATTTTTTATTTATCCATGGCTAAAATTAAAATAGCTATTTAAATTATATATAAATAATAATAGGATTATTATTATAAAGATTTTTATAATAATTTTCTAATAAATAAAAATTACCTTCAAAAATTCATTATTACATATAAGACCAACAATAGTTATTAATGATATAAATACAGCAGTTAAATTTGTATTTTGTATTTCTTTTAAAATATCTATCAATGTCTGAAATAGATTTATCATTTAAATTGTATAATTTCTAGTTAATTTATTTTTTTAAATTCTATACTTACAAAAATAAATTTAAAATATCCCTTTTGTTTTGGTATTTTCAAACCTAATAAATCTTTAATTTGAGATATTAAAACACAAACTGCTGCACCAGTTGTAAAACTATTTACTAATGGATCACTTAACAATGTACTTATAATACCCAAATGAAATATGTACATAATAATCTAAAAAAAAAAAAATTATTATTTTATTGTAATAAAATAAATCTATAAAATATTACCTGAAATATTCCAACCATGAGTGTAACTGCTGTTGCTACTTGTATTGGTGTATATAAATATTCTCCAGGCAAATCAGGTAATGTAGTCGTAACATTTGGAGTTGTAATTTCATTGTGCGATATTGAATAAGATGTCACTGTTTTCCCAGTCATCAAGCAAACCACAGCGAATGTTCCTGATGAGTGCCAATAATGTTTCATTGTTCTAGTTTGTCTAATAAGTTCTTATTAAAAGGAGATATTTGTAATAGAAGTTTTTCTGTAATAGAAGTAGTATTTTACAAAGTATATACATATCAAATGTAATATACTAAAAAGATCTTGATCTTGATGAAATACTAAATGCCTTTTCTTATTTTATTATATTCTCAAAGTTTAATACAAATTTTTTCTTACCCATAGATACATGTCTAGATGTGCCAAAAAAAAAATACATTAAAACAGGAAAGAATGCCATGTATATACCAACTACTGGAGGTACATTTCCTAAAAGGGCATACGCCATGCCTTGAGGAATATGCATAATTGCTACAGTTAAACCAGAAATTATATCAGACATTAAACTTTCTTTCCAGTTATAATTTTTTAGCCAATGTATTGATGGAATTGCAGATATAAAACACGATTTCCAGTTTTTATATTTTAAATCACTTAATGCATTATGAAAATCTATAAACAAATTTCATTATATGATATTTACATTGATAATAATAAAATTTAATATCTAATACATACCAAATGTTTTTGGTTTTTCATAATGATAATCTTCATTTAAAGTTTCTTGTTCATATATAGGTCTTTCTAAATGTATTTGTAAAAGTGTATCATGTTTCTCCATGTTAATAATAATTAAAAGGAATTTATGAATTTTATTAAAAAAAAAATATTTAAAATAAAATATTACTTATTATTAATTTGTTATATTTTATTTTTTAACTTTTTGATATATAAATAGATCTAAAACAAATAAATAGATAAAGAACTACTTTGTTAAATAAATTTTAAAAATAGAAATATTATATAATAATATTTGATATTTAATATTTTAATAATTGATAAAATATATAATTTTTGTATTATTGATCATACATTTTTATATATTGATATAGATAATTATTTCAAATTTCAGCATTTAACAATTACTAAATATTAATGATATTATTTAGTTATACTGCATGCTTAACCTTCAATTAATTATTCTAAAAATATTTTTTCTCTATAATTATTTAATATTTTATGTTTTTATTTACCTGCTTTCTTATTTAATTATATTTAATTATAAAGAAAATGTAAAAGTTATATAAAGAAATTATTAATAATTATTATAATTACTTCTCCTTATTTTATTTTAAAACAGATTCTTTCTGATCGAACTAAACTAATTTAGTAATTATTGTATATATATATACATATATATATATACATTATTATCAAATCACTTTATATTCGTCATGTGACAGACTAG